TCCTCTGCTGAATGCTTGTTCTTACGCCATGTATTAAACAGAATTTTGTTGGCTACACAACGCAAGTTAACAATTGCGTCCTCCCCAGGAATGTCAGTTATAATTACCTCCTCTTTAAAATGTTCTTCGAGGCGATACTTTAAATGGTGTCTGGAATACACCTCACCAGTCGGTGAAAATTCTTTCATTTTCTCAACAAGCCGATTTAATGAAAATTGACACTCATTCGTAGTAACGAGGTGATTACACAGGCTATCAAAGGCTAATGCTTTGTCCACCTCTGGCGCCCGGCCGGCACTGTTCTTGTTTTCTTTTTGAAGACCTCCGAAATATCTGACATTGCAAGATTTATGATAAAATGCCTCAGCAGCAACCAGATCTGCAAAAATTTGTCCAACTCTACCCTTCACTTCTCCGCCCCACTTGTCGGCGCGCTTAGCGGCCCTCCGCAGAACGGCACAGCGAAAGGCGTCAATTGTTGACACTTGATGCAAAACGCCCTCACTGTCAACGCTCTCTGCCGACTTACCGCACAAAATGCACTGCGTTCGTGGGTCGAACTGAGTACTTGTCGAACGAAGCGCTCGGCCTCGGCCACACTGCCCTTCTTGCAGGTCCGCTGCCTCAGCCTTTTCCTTAGACTTCTTGATTGCGTCCAATTCTTTCTTGTTGATGTACTTTGCTCTGCAACGCTTGTGCACTGCAGAGCAGCCAGTTTCTTCAAATATTTTGGCAATAGCACCGCCATCGCGCACGTCACTTGCCTTTTTTACTGTTTCCAATGCATTCTCCCCAAGGTGTACAATGTCATCTTCTAGAGCCGCGTCACAAAAAGGGCAGCGTGCACCGGGCGGCAACTCTGACCTCTTGTTTGGTGGCCGCCCTACTCTTGATTTCCGCATCTCTCAAGCCCCCTCCCACCTCTCCCACACACGCTCACACACAGTAAGGCACAGTCACATTCACTATTTTCATTGCACATTCACTATTATCACAGCACAATCACTATTATCACAACACAAGCACAGTCACTCGATCATAGTCGCACACGGCTTGCGGCACACGAGGGCTAAGGCGCCCAGCTGCGGCGCGGGCGCCACCGCGGCGGGCGCGCGGGGCGCAAAGAAGCACGAGCGCGAGGGCGCGAGGGCGCGAGGGCGCGAGGGCGCGAGGGCGCGAGGGCGCGAGGGCGCTCAGCGGGCACAGACAGGTTCAAGTAGCACGGAGACAGTCTTCGCAGCAGCGACCAGAGAGATCCTTCCCTTCTCGCTGCTCGAGCAAAAGTGAGTGCTCGCCCCCGCATTTCTGTGTTGTGCCACTGTTTTCCTCCGCTGGGCTTCATTGTCGCACCATGTGCACGGCAGACGCAAAATGCCGAAATATTGCTGTAAACAAACAGCCCCGCCGCGGCCCGCCCCGCCGCGCCGCGCCACCCCCGCCCCCGCGGCATCGCAAAGTGCGCGGCAGCCCTCTGAGCCATTCTCCGGCCCTCAACGATAAGCAATGTTTATGGCCCCCAGCAAGCCAGGACGTGCCCGGAGACAGTAGGTGCGCGACACATGTTGACGGACAATCACGGGCCGCGCGGGACAATGAGGTCGGTGCAGCGCACGGGGCATGCCATATGCCAATAACATGCATAATACAAATTAGACACATCCACCGAGCGGCGACATCACACAGCGCACTCCAAGATGAACATGACCAGGAAAGTGAATTTAAATTAAAGAAAAAATAAAATTGGCACCCCATTTTTGAGACGTAACTATCGGGGAAATAGAAGTCCCAAATACGCGCGCGCCAGCCAGCGCGCCGCTCGCGCGCCTCCGACGAGAAGCGCGCTTCCGAGTGAGGCAGATCTGCTGTCTTTGTCCCACCCACGCGCCGCTGGCGAGTGCGAGAGAGAGAGCGACGCACCGCCCGGCCGCCACCCGGCCTGGCCGGCCCGGCCCGGCCGCTCAGCACGCTGCGCGTCTGAACATTTAACGCCGCTGCTCGGCAGCCGTTCATCCGAGAGACAAGCGCGGCACAGCGACGGATAGAGGAGGTTTTGGCGAAGTTTTTGGTGTGGTTTCCTTTTCGGCTGCTGCACGCCTGTCCACTACGGGACCATTTATTTGAAAAAGCACAAAAGAGTTTCACTCAAAAATTTACGGGAAAAAAAATTCACAGCCTGCGGTTTCGGAGTTAGCCGAAAACGAACACTTCTACGGCGTAGAGTAGACCTTCGTTAAGGACGTAGGGGGGGTGAAATTTTTATTTTTACAATTTGAACTAGGGTTGGGACCCTTTGAACGCTCGAGTGCAGCAAAACCGGTTTTTTGGCCATAAGTCGTTCAAAAAAAATCGCAGAGAGTTGAAAAAAATACACAAGGTGCGCCCTTGTGGTACAAGTAAGTAGTGTAATTTTCAGCGCGATCGGACAACTTTCACCTTTCACCTCGGTTTTCCGGCCGGCCGGCCCGTCCGCCGGGCCCATGCTATTCTTATGGGGCGCGCGCGGGCCGTTTTACCGGCGCGCACTCTAGGTCGCGCTGCTCAGAGGCTATTCGGAGTGCAGAGATGAACAACACAGCGTCGGAGAGGTAAGGGATCAGGCTACAATATTTACTTGAAACATTTTTCAAATTTCTAACGAGATCACTTGAAAAAAAATAATTTTCTGCAGAACTTTTTTGAGTCATTGTACAAAAATGTTCACAGTGTAGCGGTTCAAACATTTTCGAACAACCTGTTGTATACATACTGTTCAGTGGTCCTTTCCGGATAATTTAAGCCCTCGCCCGCCTTTCTACGTTCAAAATGGCCGGAGATATAACGTGAAAACTGAAAAACTGCACTTACGCCCTTTCGGTTCAAAAAAAATGGGTTCCCGGTCGAAATTCGAGGTAAACTTTATTATGGGGGTTCATCAAGGGTCACTCTACCGGAATCTGCAAAAAAACGTTTTGTTATAATTTCCGTAAGGTAAAAATTTGGTTGACTGGACTACGAGGCGAGGCGAGCCCCCGACCATCAAGAGTTCGCGCCGCGGCCGCCGGGGAGCGCTGGCGGCGCCAACCCGCGACCCAGGGGAGGGCGCGACGCGGCCTCGCGGGTGCTCGCGGGTCGCGGGTGCGACGACTTCACCCACCTGCCCCGACGCAACCGGTTCCACCACCAACGCGTGGGTGTGAGTGATGCAGCACTGCACGCATATCGCACAAATATTCCCGCTTCACGGTGCAGCTCCCCCCCTTCGAGGGAGTGTCCGTGTCCGTGTTAAAAACCCGATGACGGTCCCTGCATTTGCATTGAGCCGCGGGCATGCATGTGGGTTAACGTTTCGGGATATAAAAATTTATCTCGGCCCTCTGTCAATGTAATGATCGGGCCGTGGTGCATCCCGCGCTGCAGCGGTGCCGCACAGAAATGGACGCGTTGGCTCCGCCCCGCCCCGCCCCGCCGACCGCAGTGCTGCGTGGCTCGGGAGTTACAATTACACCGTAATGCTCATAGGCTTGATGACGCGACAAATCATCTTGAGCAATCAGCCGGCCTGCAACCCCGGTCGTAATGCAGCCCACGGGGCCCACGGACCCTTCCCTCCCCTCACTGCAGTATGTGGGAGGGACGCCGGCAGCCCATCCCTCTCACAGCGAAATATAAGCGACACACACACACACACACACACACACACACACTCTCACACTCACTCACTGCCACCCAGCACATGAATGCACACATGTACACAAATTCATGAAGACCCCTAACGCCCAGGCACGGCCAGACGGCCACTCGACAGTCCGACAACGCCGCGGTCCGTGTCACGTCATGTGCAAGTTAAAGCCCCCTGGAAGGAACAGACACCCGCGCCGCCGCCGCTGTCCGCCGTCTTCAAAACCCGCTGCTGCAACTTTCTCCGTCATAAAATTGGAACTGGTCCGCTCGTCCGCTCCTGCACCCGCCCTGGCCACGGGGCTTCGCTCTGAGTGGGGGTCGCCCGACAATGGCGCGATGCCGGCCCGCCCGCACGGCTGCAGGTTGGGTTGCCTACCTGCCGGCGCACGGGCAGCGCCCCGGTGGCTCGAGCAGCTGGCTGAAGAGAGGAGGCGCTGTGGGGGAGAGAGACATCGATATGGTTCAATCAATATGCCAGCAATTGATCACCAATTCATTGCACAACGTAACATTTGTTTCACCAGGGTACCGGAAGAAAATGCGATGACCTTTGACCACACGCAGAGATGGAACAGGGGCACTATTTAGTGTAGCGAAAATTTGACAATAGAGCAATTCCAACTTCGTAAGACCAATGCTTTATACAGTCTGATTTAGTTAAGCCACGCTACGGCAGCGTGGATTTTGACAAGGGGAGATGGTGGGCAGGTCGCGAGAGAACGCGAGAGAGTGAGAGAATTATTCTTTCTCTCACCCCACATTCCCTGTTCCTCACCGTACTCAATGTCCCGCGTTGCTGAACTCTGAACTGAAAACCGTGGAATAGGGAAATAACCGAGGAAATAACGCGTGTTTTTCCGTTTTCGCAAATTTTGGGTGTTCTTCCTTAATGTTTTTTTTTAAATCAATGGAAAAACAGCTTCACATTGGCGCGAGGCCTGCAAAACATGGAGTTGGGAAAAGCCAACACAAGGCTGCACTAACTTTAGAGTATTTATTTTGATCCTCGGAGTACTTAGGATTGGTCTTCGCTCTGAGGGGTTCTCTCTCGGCTCCATCTGCAGCGGCGCACTCATCTCCCTCGCTCTGCTGCTCTTCCTTGACATACCGTCCCGGTCCCGCACTGCCAACTAATTGACGAGAATCCGAAGTCATTAATAATAATAAGAGACACAACACAACTAGATAAGTTCCAAAAGTTTTATTACATATTTTAAAACATTAACGATAAATTTACCAAAAATAATATTTTTTCGAGAAGATGGGGGAAGACTGGCTTAATCGCGTGCGATAAGGCGTTAATATTAAGAGTCCATTTCCATTACAACATGTGAAGATGGTTACGCACCATTATGAGTTTCCACGTGCCTCAAAAAATGTCCATTGTGGGAAAATCGTTTCTTACAGAATTTACACTCATACGGCTTCTCACCAGTATGTATCCACGTGTGTTCAATAAGATTATATTTCGCCTTAAACCGAAGATTGCAGACACCACACTGATAAGGTTTCTCGTCCTCATGAGCACGTGGTAGATGCCGATCCAGCGAAGATTGTTTGTTAAATATCTTCCCACAACGCTTGCACTTTACGGACAGTCCGTCGAGATCACGATGGGGCTTCTCGGGACCATCTTCGGCACGTAATCTCGGCCCACAGTCGCTGTCCTGAGGAACTCCTTCCGACTGTCGGGCACCCTCCTGCACCTCGTCGGCACCCTCCACGTTCTCGCGACTCTCGTCACTGCCACCGCCACTGACAGATCTCTTCGTCCCGACGCCTTCCGGTTGTTGCTGAAGCTCGCCGCGGAGCGAGTAGCTGTCGGCGACCACCAGCCGCAGCCCGACGGCTGAGGCGCACTCCTCGCGCTCGCTCAGCTGCTCCTCCTTGACGGACGGCCCCGCGATCATGGACCCCGCTGACGTACCGGCCCCGGCACCTGTCAACCTTGCTGTCAACAGCAACAACGCCGCGTTAGAGGTCGCCGAGGCGGCCTTTCAGGGACCGTCCCTCCACCGACGTGCACGTGCAGCTGGGAGCTGGGCCTTTGTTCGGCGGGTCGAGGAGGCTGCGCCAATGTCCTTGTCCTGCGGTCTTGGGTCTGCGCGAAGGGAGCGAGCGGGCAGGTTCTGAAAAAGAGAAGGAATGAGAAAGTGCACAAATCAAAACAACAGTCGATCATCGGTGCGAGGTCGACCCGTCGGCGTGTAAGGAAAAGCCAATGCTAGACGCAATGGGGGATTCAACACGAAATGTACCAGAAAAACCTGCAGAATGTGTCCACAAAGTCCCCACCACACCCAATGTCTTTTATTTACCAGGGTTTTCCCTCTAATTGTAAAAACATTATTACAAGTACATAATTTTCTTTCTATTTAAAGTAATCCCCTAAATACTAAATTGTGCTGATTTTTATGACAATTTTCAAAAAATTTACAATTACACTCAAAAAGTCATAGATGTAAACCGGTGTAAACATTTTGGAGAGCTTTAGAACGATCTTGTTATGACACATCATTAAGCTTCAATATTAACAATAAGCATTTTTCGAAAAACCGTGTCTTACAGATATCACACTACTACCGATACATGATTTATTGTAAGAAGATTCTTGAAGCGGCGAAGCGAGGCTTACAGACGTCACACTAATAAAGGTTCGCACGAGTATGTGTCTTCTTGTGCCTATTAAATTAGAGGTTTTTTTTTTCAAGGTAGATACAGATAACACACTCTCATGGTTTTCTCCAGTAGGTGTTCTTATGATTAACAAGAACACGTTTGTGGGATAAAAAGCGATAACACGCGGAATTCATGTTTGGCTTCTCATATTTGTGTGTCCGTATGTGGCAACAAGGACATAGTTCCTGGGCGAATAAGCGGTTACACGCGTCTCCCATGTACTACGGCTTCTCATCAGTATGTGTCTTCATGTGTTGAACAAGGGCGCGTTTCTTGGCGAAACAACGATTACACAGGGCACACTGAAAAGGCTTCTTACCAGAATGTGTCCTGATGTGTTCCACCAGGACACTTTTCCTGTAGAAAGACCGATTACACTCGTCACACTGAAAAGGCTTCTCACCAGTATGTAACCTCATGTGAACCATAAGGTAACCACGACTACTAAAATAATGCTTGCAGACATCGCATTGAAATGGCTTCTCGCCCGTATGCGCACGTACATGCCGATCCAGCAAAGATTTCGTGGTAAATATCTTCCCACAGAATTTGCACTTCAGAGACAGTCCGTCGCTGTCCAGAGTTACTCCTCCCGGCTGTCGGGCACTCTCCTGCATCTCGTCGGCACCCTCCACGTTCCCGCCACTGACACGTCTCTTCGTCCCGACGCCTTCCGGTTGCAGCTGAAGCTCATCCTCGTCCTCTACATCGCGGCCGCGGAGCGTGTAGCTGTCGGCGACCACCAGCCGCAGCCCGTCGGCAGAGGCGCACTCCTCGCCCTCGCTCAGCTGCTCCTCCTTGACGGACGGCCCCGCGATCGTGGACCCCGCTGACGTACCGGCCCCGGCCCCTGTCAACAGCAACAGCGTCGCGTTAGAGGTCGCCGAGGCTGCCTTTCAGGGACCGTCCCTCCACCGACGTGCACGTGCAGCTGGGAGCTGGGAGCTGGGCCTTGTTCGGCGGGTCGAGGAGGCTGCGCCAATGTCCTTTGTCCTACGCTCTTGGGTCTGCGCGAAAGGGGCGAGCGGGCAGGTCCTGAAAAAGAGAAGGAGTGAGAAAGTGCACAAATCAAAACAACAGTCGGTCATCGGTGCGAGGTTGACCCGTCGGCGTGTGAGGAAAAGCCAATGCTACACGCAATGGGGGATTCAACACGACATGTATCAGAAAAACCTGCAGAATGCGACCACAAAGTCCCCGCCGCACCCAATGTCTTTTATTTATCAGGGTTTTCCCTATAAACGTAAAAACATTATTACAAGTACATGATTTTCTTTCTATTTAAAGGAATCCCCCAAATACTGAATTGTGCTGATTTTTAGCCCGCCCTTCTGCTTTGAAAAAGCAATAGAGCGGGCTTATGCAATCGATCTCGTGTCTGTCTGTCCGTCTGTCTGTCTCTGTCTGTCTGTCTGTGCCACAAGAAGGAGATGAGCTAGAGACTTCAAATTTGGAGGGAACCTCAGGAGTACTTCATAGACAACGGAACGGCTGGTGCAAATCCTGCCAACCCGTTTATAGGGGGTGAAATGACATCATGAAGAAATGAAGTATAAAGGTTAAATTTAAAAATTTTCGAAATTTTTTTATGGTCTCCTAAGGGGTAACTCGTCGAATTAGTGCCCTCTGGGCGAAAATTTCGGTCGTTTCACCGTATCTTGTACCGTTTAGGCGCTACGGCTATATTTTCAGCAGGAAACTCGCATGCTTTAGTACAACTACTAGTAGGCGATTTGCCACAAAAAATTTCATAAAACAAAAAGTGTAGAGCTCATTTTTCTGATGAAATTCATGCGTTCAAAATGCTCATAGCACCAATTATTAACGTTTAAGAGCGAACAGGCCAAATGCAAAAGGTTGCCTGTGTTAAGATTTTTCAAAGCAGAAGGGTGGGCTGAAGTCACGGTGGTACACCATTACGATAGCCCTCACAGGACTGAAACTTATATGGCTGGCGGTCCGAAGGCCCGCTACGAAGGTGATCCTGCTAACAAAGGATTTAGTGACTTTATTGTCGGGCCGAAGGCCCGACAAAACGCCGCCGGCAGGCCAAGCAGGCCCGCCCTCCGCCAAACGTCGTTGCCAGCTCCGCTCCGCTACGCTGGCAACTCCGTTCGGCC